ATGTCAATGACATAAACAGGCTTACATTTCTGTAATTGTTGTTCTCTGGTTGTGTTTGCTCATTCTGGAAATAGAGAATTTAAGCTCAATCACCTCTAAGCTCCTAAATAAACATTCATCTGCCTATTTTCACATCACTACATGCATTCTTAAATTAACTTCAATAGGCAGACTGCCATTAGCACTTTTTGACGCTAGAGTAAAAATGGGGTCACCGTATCTGCTAACATTACCTGATTAATGACAGTGGGGGAGAAGAGTTTGAAGGCAAACTTTGAACAAAAATAATACAGAGGCCTTCCTGCATGGCCAACCATGCTTGGAAGGCTTTGCACTCAACAGGTTGAGTAGCATCTGACCAAAGAAACACACTAAGCTTGGAGTCATGCAATTAATCAATTCTAAATCAGTATTACACTGCTTTATATGTCAGTGGGGAAAAAATATATATCAATTAATTAAAAAAAAAAAAATCCAAAAAGACAGGATATAGAACTGCTGGCATCTGGTCTGCAGAGCTCTCAAGGAACTGGGGAATCTTTGCATGGAGGAACCCCCCCGCCCCCCCCCCGCCCCCCCCCCCCCGTCCCCCATAGCGACCATTAACACCTTCTGCTAGGCTTCATCTCAGGTCCTTCCTCTACTCGACACCTTTTGACATTTTTAAATACCCTTCAAGAGAAAAAGCTACTTCTTTCAATGATGGAAAATAACAAGAACTGAGGGGAGGAATTTAAACTGCAGTAAGATATTTCTCACCCATTTTACAAGACATTCTTCCTCCCAAACAACTTCCCAAAACACAGATTTAGTTGGGAGAATCACTTTGGCACAACTCAGCTCTGCACTTGGGAAAACTCTAGCTGTAGGGTAGAACGCTTGAGATAAATGCAGGGAGCTGGCAGCACAAGCCTAAAGAAGAGGGGTAGGCAGAGCTCCTGGTAATAGAATGATAGGAAATAGGGATCTTCAGAGTCCTCGCTACAAAATGGGAAGGAAAAGCTCCTTAAGCATGGTACACAGATGATGACATGGAGAGTGTAAGGGGAGGCTTCAGAGGAACAGAGAGCCCCAGTGGTTGCTAAGCTATGATCAGCAGAGCAAAGAAAGGTAGGACTCTGCTAACTGGAGGGCGGAGGGGAAAGAAGTTCACTAAAATTCTGCTTTTATTCTCTCACATCCTACAGTCTCATTAATTTTGAGCTTTACACTACTGAACATGGTTCAGTGCCACGATTTTCAAAGGAATTAGACAGAGAAAAAAAGGTTACCCATCTGTATACTCCCATTAGAACCTACAAAAGAAGTTGAGACTAAAGTTGCTCAAGTGTTTAACACTGAATAAATGCAACTGAAATATATTCAAATCAATATCACAGCCAACTCTGTCTTGCCTCACAGCTTGTTACTAGGATGAAAAACAATCAGAGGATACTTTTCCAGAATAGCTCCCCATGTGGACATACTTTCTCAAGACGAAGAGAGGCCCAGCTCTGGTTTATTTTTTTCTGGATAAAGGTATGCATATGATGTGGTGGGACCATCCATATGGAAAGCTACTCTGCAATACTATCCTGCTTTAAGCAAACGTTCTATCTCAATCTGGAATACCGCTAAGTGTAGGAATACATTACAGCCATTAAACATCAGTGAAAGAAATCTCTGGCTTAGCAAAGCCAATCCATGTTCAAGAATCCTGGGTGCACTGAAACCACCTCTATTTCTTATCAGTGCTCTCCAAATTACTCAGCAAAGTACCAACTGCTTTAGTGCTACAGACACGTGTTGAGCGCGCAACACCAATACCAAAGTATTACCAGAGAAAGCAATAAGCACAGGCACGTGTTTGATGTAAGTTGTAAAAATCATACTTAACTTCATTTTGAAAATCTTAACTGTTAACAGTAATTTCAGGAGCTATGAATCAAACCATCAAATGCTTCCTCTCATAATCTCGTAACCAGAGCCCAGCCCATGCCATCACCAACTCCAGCTTTTAGTGCCACATAACACCGAGGAAAACAAAACTACGTTTTGTAGAGAGGAAAAAAAAAAACCCAAAAAACAAAAGGGAGTTATTAGTGTAAATGTACCATGATGGAACTTGGTGCTGATTTCCAAAAACAACACACAAACAAAAAAGGAGCACAGAGGACACCACCACACATCAGGCTTTTAGCACAGGAAAATATCCAGTGTGTATGCAGCAACAGCACCCAACTCTCCAAATTAAGTTAAAAAAAAAAAAACAAAGAAAAAACAAACCCTGAGTTTCTCTTTTTCTCCCTAGATAATTCATGCCTTTGAGAACTACCTTAATTGAACTGCTTTCTATAATGTATACCAGACATATTCACCGCATGCCTTTCTCCATATAAAACGTTCAGATTTGTCCATGTCCTTAATTCAGGTTAATTAGACACCGCTCACAAGCACCCTGCAATAAGGGTATCTGTTTGAATAGGACACAATCGCTGCAGGGCTTCTGTCTTTTCAATCAGTCAGTGTCCCCGCAGTGTTTAGAGTGGCAGAGGGGAAGTGGCCTGTGGTTAAACAGAGGAAATACCGAGGAATTTTAATAGAGCAAATAGTCTCTTTACTTCCTACAGGGCCCCACTTCAAAGGCAGCCTTGCTCCCGAGCAGACAATGTGTTAGAGGGGCCATCAGTCATGTACCAGCACGGCGGCTCCGCTCACAGCTCACACAACCGGCCAATTGACCCCCAGCTGACACAACCGGGACCATCCCGCAGTCGTTCCTCTGCCAGGGCTGGGGGTGACAGCACCAAGGCCGGGATTCCAGAAAGGCACCGCGGCACGATCACCAAATGCTCCTACCAGGCACCGAATGAACGGCCCATGGAAATGCGAAAACAAAGCTGAAAATATAATAAAAGCAGAAACCACTACAAATATTTAAGAAATTAAAATGTTACACTTGCTGTGTGCGATTAAAACAATTTTTTTTTTTTTTTAAATGCTACTAATCTGAGAGACATGAAGCAGACTGTGGCACTGTGGCACGCCGAGATTCCACAGCCACAAGGCGCCCATTGGCTGAACCCAGCAGGGCGCTGCCGCGGCTCCCGCAGCTCTCCACAGTTCGCTGAGACAGCGGCGCGCCCGGGGGCACGGGACGAGCAGCGGCACCGCGTCCCCATCTCTTACAGCTCCAGCAGCGCCGTGCGGCACGGAGCTGAGTCCTGAGCTGCTTTTCTTCGGACGTTTCCCAGCGCTTTCGCCTCCCTGCGCGCTGCCCTACGACCGTGAGCGCCGCGGAGTGCCCTCAAAGCGCTGATGTGACACCGCGGAAACCCGCAGCGACAGCCGACAGAAAGGGGCGGCGATGGAAAGCAGCGCTCCCTGCCGCGCTCCCGCACCGCCGCGCCGCAACGGAACCGGCAGCCGCGCTTGGGAGTCGGGGAGAACTTCAAAACTTAGTTAAAAGTAGCAAAAAAGAAACGGAGAAGAAAGCAACGAAGAGTCTGACAGCAAAACGCAACAGAAGCGGGAACGAAAAGCAAAGCCTCGTAACAGAACGTTTATCACCTGCACGTCCCCGCCACGGACGGAGGGAAAGTCCCACTCCGCGTCCCCGCCGGGAACGCCGCGGTTCCTCCCGGCCGCGGACCCGGCGCAGAGCCCCGCAGCAGCCGCACCGCCGGCTCCGCGGCACCCCTCACGGCAGCACCGCCCCACCTGAGCCGCAGCGGGACCGAGCCCGGCGCTACTCACCCGCCCTCCGCAGGCGTCGGCCGCCGCCCCCCTCCTGCCGCCGGGCCCTCCGGCCGCCTCCGCGAGCCGCCGTCCCCCGCAGCAGGCGAGGAGCGCGAGGAGGAAGGCGCCGAGCTCCCGCCCCGGGGCCATGGTCCGCAGCGGCGGCCGCGGAGCGCGGGCAGCGCGGCGGCGGCGTGGCGGAGAGCGGCCGCGTGCATGCGCGCCGCCGGCCCGGGGGGCTGCGTCTCGGCGGGCACGCGCGCCCGTTCCCCGCCCCCGGCCCGGCCCCGCCCGCGGGAGCGCGCGCCGCCCTCCGCGCGGGGTCGCGCGTTTCTCCCTAACGTGAGACGCGAGGCGCTACGCGGGGCAGCGCGGCCGGACAGCCTCAGCGCCGGGCTGCTCTGCACGAAGCATTCGGAGTCACGTAGGGGGCGAAGCCTCAGCCGCCAGCAAAGTGCAGAAGCACAGCACTGAGCTCAGAAGAGACAACAGCTGCTCAGGTGGCTACAAGCAGCAACCAGGTAGCTGAGAGTCTTCCCTTCAGTAACCCCAGTCGCCATTATTTTGGAAGATTTTACATCCAGGTACATACTGCTGCTATCATTAATATTAGACAAAAAACCACGACAACTGAATAGAGAGAGAAAAAAAAAGAAAAAAAAAAAAAAAAACACAGTGCAAAATAGCATATCACAGTTCAGATTAAAGCAATGCACAATCTCAAAAAGCCCACTCAGGGTGAAAGGAAACGCTGCCAAGTGGCCATTTTTAAACTACTTCTAAACATGTCATAAGTTTTCCGATTCTTGCGAACACCAGCAACGACAATACAGGAAGACTCCAACTGCTCTCAGGCAGCCCTTCTCTGCCAGTTGCCATGAAAACAGGCTCAGGAGCCCCTGGCAGACACAGCTCTTCATTATATCATGAGCAGAAGTGGGACTCCTGCCATTAAGCATATTTTAGCACAAATTCAAGATTTGGCCGTAGCCCTGTTAAAGCTCTTGGAGCAGATGATGCTTACTTGGGATGCCCATTTTCCCCGCAGGTTGGTGTTCTGGAAAAGGGAAGGGTAACATTCCGCGGATGGCTCTGGCACTTTACACAGAGAGCAGAAGGAACAAGTCTTACTAACCAAGGGTTCAAACAGAAGCACAAAGCAAAAATATCACCGGCCACAAGTCAGCCTGCACGCCCCCCCCTTCCATTACCTCAGCTTAAGCTAATAACAAAACACCACATCTGAAAAACATTTATCCTAAGAGCTGTCACGGCCAGCTTACCAACGTGAATGCAGTGACTGCACACAGAAGGATTGCGTTGCTTTTTGGGACGGCATGCAGAAGCATTTTATTGCTTTGTGTGCATTTAGAGTAACTTCCACTGAGAAGTTTTGTGGAAAAGGATAGAAAAGAGGTGGGAATCAAATGACAGTTAAAATTTCCACTTAGATTCTCTAAAATGCTGCTAGCTAATGTAAGGACAAAAGTGACTGTGGGGACTGCTTTCCTGCAGGCTCTTTTGTCCTTACAACAGTCTCCTGTTTCAACGTAGTACAACATACCAGTTGGAGAATATATCTAAGTCATGGGTATCAATATAATGCATTCTACAGCTGGTTTTGGTTGCCACTACAACCAAACCTCAAGCGTCTTGCTTAAAGCTAAGAACCCTTTTTTTTTCCCCCTCCTTTCTGGGCAGCTGTTCCCAGATGGAGGGGACAGTGGGAACTCGGCTGGGCCTAGAAAAATATGGAAACTCAAGTAACAAAGAGTGCTGCTGTATAGTTAGGATTTTCCTACCAACTATTTCCACCAGTTGCAAAATAATAACAATAAAGCCTCCTTAGATTTGGAAGCTGTGTCCTCCATCCATCTTTTGTATTTCTAACATTTAAATCTTTCTCCCAGGAGAGACCGACCTTGGCTGCACAAGGAAGGAGTTAAGAAGAGCTCAGCTCTCAGCTGTAGGCCAGGAAGCATGCACCATGCCTGTGGACATATCCACTGGTGTCAGGCAGCTAAAGACCATCCAGTATCAAACCTTAAGAACTAATTCAGAAAAAAATGAGTGAAAACAATGTTCCCAGAAGCGTTCAGGAGTCACAAAAATTGTACTGTGGTAGTGTCTTCCAGATTGTAACATGCCATAGTTTCAAAAGATCTGGTTAACCTCAAGCAAAAGATTATCAGCTGTATGATCCCAGATGATGAAATTGAAATTTAATTTAAATGCATCTATTGCCATTAATGGTTCTCTCTTTTAAACCACCGGGTCTTGATAAATATGCCAATATTAATGAAGAAGAAAGAAAAGAGTTCTGAAAGGAAGATCCGCCTTACTATTCCCATTTTATAGATGCAGAAACGTAAAGAGAGTCATAAATATGCCTGTTTTAACATCTTGCACACATGCTCGAGGCTAAACCAATAATTAGATTTGGAGTCAGGAAAGACTCTGCCCCCTACTAAGACAGGAAGAGACCCCTGGGGGTAATGGGTTTTGGTTTTAATTTGCTTCTTTCTAGAGACGCACAATCTACTTCCTAAGGTCATCCAGACATTATCACTGGGCACGTAAAACAGCATGGGCTGTGGAGGCCAGATCCTCCAGAATAAGTCCATCCAAGAGCCTGCTTGTGCCCTGAGGGGGCAAAGAGGAGCACAGCACACCATCCTAGCAGCCAACTGCCTCCTGCTGCGTCCAAGCACTTATTGGCACTTCCAGATTAGCTGCTGCTGCGTCCACGTGGGACTTGAAAGTGGAATTGGATGCATGAATTCTGCTACATTTGCTTTGACACTGGCAAACCACTTTGGCCACCACTTCTATATCCAAACACTTCACAACAAATCCTGTAGTTCAGCATCCTTCATGCTGAATAAGCTAAGCCTTACTGAATTCCTTGTAGGGTGCAGGCAGCCACATCTTCCCCCAATCACTTTCTATCACATTCTCATTCTTGAACTTTCTTCTTAAATACCTCAAGTCTATCTTCAGGTATTTGGGGATGTTTTGAGGTTTGTAGAGTTCAGAGAGTAGAGTGAATAGTCTGGTGACCTTTCTGGATGACTTAATGTCTTCTACAGGAAATTGCACTTAATGACCAAGGAAGTTTTTCCAGTTCTATATTCCCAAAGGCTCAAGTTAGCATCAGATGTAGAGATGAAAAGGAATCGATTGAAATAAACTATTTACTATACACAAATGTCTTCTGCTCATTATCAAAACAACTGTTTGCCAGCAATCCATGAATACAAATCCTTGTATAATATCACCATTCCCCAGACCTCACAGTTCCTTGTGGAGAGAGTACACAGGCCAACAACTTACTCTGCTGGCAGGAAGGATCTGCAGTCAAATGTGAACTCTATTTCTATTCAGTTTTGCACATGTTTAGTTTTGCATCTGGTTATTCATATGAATATAATAAAGGCACAGACAGACAGCTCAGTTCTGAGATCTTTCAACTAACTGACCTGCTACCAAATTCACTTCTCTCTGTTACACAAGCAAGCTGAATTGCCTCATCCTGTGGCCACGTGATCTTTTCGGAGAAAAGAGGGAGCAGAGCAGGACTGCATCTTTCAGCAGCAGTCTTCTGTCACATTGGATTAGGTGTTATATGAAACTACTTATTTAGAGAAAAGTAGATTTGTGATGCAAAGAAAATTAAAAATTGCACGGAAGAGTGACTTTTCTTTTGGAGAAAAAAATCCACTGAACTTGAAACATTGCAATCCAACAACTGTATTCTTAAGTGAGGTATGTTTTATTCTTTAGAAATATTTGAGTCATTATTTCGAGTCAAAATATTTTTCTGCAATACCGGCATTTCAGTTCAGCCAACCATTAAAACAGCAAACGAAGCCTCCTCTGATGCCATTGGAATACTCGCTAGAATTGTAAATAAAGTAATGCTTTGAAAAAGTTTCTTGGGTTTACCTTTAATCTCAACTTCAATGCAGCACAATCCCTTCCACAAAGACATCTTGCCATTTTCCATCGGCAGTGAAATAAGTGCCTGGGTGGGGGGGAGTGACTTAACAGCCTATCCCGAAATTCAGCGATCTGCAGCATCCTGTGGCCGTGTCTGTGAAACTAATCCCAGCACACTAAGGGACCCCTGGCTGAGCATAACCTGCCTTAAACCTCTTCCCTTTCAACCAAGAAGAGAGCAATTTGTTCAAGCACTTCAAGATGACATCATTCCTTATTTGAGGCCAACGGCTAAGTGTAATTAAGGCTAAAGAAAACGTTCTGAAGATTTTTGTGATTAAAACAGAGAGACTACTAACAGATACCATTACAGAACAATTGGAGCATTTCCGGAAGAATTCCAAAGTCCTACTGTTGTGTAACTGCTGTGGAAGATGATTGGAAAGCAGTCTGTCAATAGCACTTCATTCTACTCCCACTAAGGGAAATATACAAACAAATGAAAATGTGGACACATATGGAAATTGTAGTCTGTTTATATGACAGATACATAACAGCATTTCAGAGAAAAAGCTAGAACACTTCATGGCAGATTTACAAAAGAATTCTACAGCAATTCTACAGAACTGCACTAACCAAAGAGGAAAGGCCCTGCTAGGAATAACAGTTACTGCTGACAGCCCTACTTTTCAAACAACTTAATATATCCTCCATATCTACAGTTTGGCACGTTGTCGCAAAAAAAGATCGAAGCACTCAGATATTAGGATTGATTCAGTTGCTTGTTTTTGAAAAGAGTAATATAAATATCCAGACAAGGGATTGATAAAACTCAGATCAATTAATGAAACATTGATAAAACAAAGATCTATTAATGCTTGCAGAGAAAGTTAATGCACATTAATAGTAAGTTACAATAATTATGATAGTATGATAACCTTGTGGTTAGATGGTAACATTAGGAATCACTGACCAGAACACTCCAATAGAGCTGCTGTTTGTGATAGACCTTACTGTCCAGCAGTGTATGATCAAGAGGGGAAAAAAAATCTCACTTAAGCAAGAATAACTACAAGAAAAGCTTTTTTACATAACCTACTTGAGTTTCACAAAAACATTTAGCCAGACAACTGCATTTTAAGAGTGGTGACGGTGCCTCATTAGACTGTTTCCTTTTGACTTCCTTTCCCTGTCAAAACGAATTAGAGCAATTTGCAATTATATTGTCAGTGAGCCACATCCTGTAGCACTGAATGAGATGTTGTCCCACCTTTGAAGTGAGAAGTACACATATATCCCTATCCAGTCAGTAATTTAGAAATATTCAAATCAAGAAAGAAATAGAAGTGACGACAACCACATTTTTAATTTTTTAACCCAACTAAACATATTGAAATGCAAGTCAAACCATAACAGATGTATAGTATGTAAGCAGTACAATGCCATTTCTTATCGTTCTAATGCGATGAAACAGTTTTATAGAAAAAAAGCAGGTGGTCATCAGCCCTTTTGCATGCCAAACATCTGCATTCTCAAGTTTGCATTTGTTGTCACAGAAGAATTACATTAGTAGACACTGTAGCAAAGTCGTTCTATGGTTCCATTGTAAGGGTGGGGTATTTTTTGTTTCTTTTAGAATTACTTGATGCTTTCACAGATATAAAACAATTCTGCTGCTATAAATGGACTGCATTTTGTAGTGCTGTAATCACATACCCATGAACGCAGCCTTAATGATTTAGAAGGCTGTAAAAGGTTGCCCCAAACTGAATTCTGAAGTTAATATCTAATAAATGTTCAGACTATCAAAAATACTAAGAACCTACCAATTTCCACTGGGTTCAATTCAACAGAGCCCATCCTGAGTTTTTGAAAAGCAGACACAAGGTCAAGCATTCATACACACATACAGACTCTGTAACTAAATCTTCGTTGTACTACAATTTAGCAATCAGCAGGCATTCTACAAACAGCCTACCTCGTGATTGCAGACACCACCCAAACTTAAGATGTAGAACTGTAATTCTATGCTCCAGCCACAAGAGGGCAAAAGTAGCCCACCATTTTCAGCTATATTTGAAATACTGAATAACTGCTTCAGTATTTATGAATTTAAATGCTGGCCTGATCTGGGGGCAAAAAAAATAAATAAATAAATAAAAAATAAAAGAAAGATTAAGGCGCAGTTTATAAATAGTCAACAGCCTCTAATGCAGAATATTTGATTTGCTGTCTTCTTAATTTCTTTAACAGCATCAATCACACAAACTGAATCCCAGGATGTTTTTGAACATCACTGTGGTTGTTAATGTAAATCTAAGTATTAAAAGCGTGAAATATATCATTAAAGGGTATAGTATTTATTTTCAGTTAACATGTTAAGCATAAATTGGTTATATGTAGGCAAGATTCTAGACAACTTGGACAAACAGCAACCACAATAAACGTATTAAAATAACAACTGGTAAAGAACAAGAAAGTATTAAACAAGATACAATAACTATGTTGATGTAAATTTACAGACATGATGTCGTGACGGTTTGCTATTATTGACAATTATACCAGAATTAGGCCAAAACCATGTGTGTGCAGTCACCATCCTTGAGTGTTCAAGAAACGAGTAGAAGTGGCACTAAGGGACATGGTTTAGTGGGCATGGTGGTATTGGCTGCTGGTTGGACCAGGTGACCATGGAGGTCTTTTCCAGCCTCAATGATTCTATATACCTAAGCATTTTTTGTTATATTCTTACCTCAGTGAGGATAAACATCCTGCAAAAACAAGTTTTTAGAAGTTTCTTCCTTCTTATAAATTCAATAAATATATGTTTAATTTGGGTACCCAAAAGAAAGGAGAGGTCTTCCACCTTTTGTCTCCCTTTCTCCTTCACCTCACCTAAGTGTGGGGTCTATTTCCTCAGAAAGGAATCTGGAACTGATGGCTCTTCCACAACCCCGGATTACCATCCCTGCCGACAACTGTTTGCCCATTACGATCCCACCAAGTTCCTTTGTGGTGCAATCAGATAGAACCCTTCCTCTCTCCTCCCCACCCCGGAGATATTCAGCAGCCCCAGCACCTCCCCACATAATGAGCTAATTACATAATAGTAAATCCTATAAAATTAAGTGATAAAAAGCATCAACCTGACAACTAATAGAGAAACCACTTCTAGCCAAAAAATCATAACAAACATTTTCTTACAAGTAATTTCTAAGAAGCTTCGATTTTATTTTATTTTTTTATCACTAGTCAGCCCTGAGAATTAATCTCAACTATTTGAAATTACCTTAATTTCAAAGTTTGGTAAAAAAGTTCTTTGTTAAATCCAGCCATAGAAATGCTTGGGTGAAGTTTTGAGGCCTCATTTACTTTCAATAAGAACACAGCATTATCCTTCTTCTGTGGAACTGTAAAACACCCTGGGTTTTGTTGCTTTAGAAGTATTTTCAATACAAGACTTTGAATGAGAAAAACGCAGACATACTTACACCCAGTAGGAAAATTGTAATAGAGCTTGCTGGGGTACAAGCTTGCTGTTTGTAATCACAGACTTGGTACATCAAATAACTGCCAATACAAAATTCTAAGTTCAAAAGTGTTATAAATGTAGGCTTTAAAAATCTAATATTGGTAATTTAAAGAATGTTTCAAACTATGCTCTCACATATGCTGCAAGTAATAATATTACAACAGAACCTAGGAAGCAGTTGTTGTGTGATTTGGGTATGCCTTCAGGCCATGAGCACAGATCATCTTTTTTGGACGGCAACAGCCACTAATGAAGTTTATGTCTAGAAAAGTTTTTTAAGCTTGAGACATCAAGAAAGAGAAGAAAGTCAATTTCAAACAAATAATTACACAGCCCAGCATCCCAATTATGGTCACTGGCACAGGACCCTATTTCAGGAAAGCACTACTAGCATGTTTAAGTACCATTTCAATCAGTTCTAGGAGAGCTTCATCAATTTATCACTAACCTAAATTACAGCTGTTGACGAATGCTGACATCACAGCTTGCCAATACCAGAACGAGGAAGTCTTACCACAAGCCAGCTTTCTTGCTGGATGTTTTCACTGTCTTTGTAATTGTAAGAACTCATCTCAGGGTCACAGGGTCAAATGAGCTCTTGAGCCAATGCAAAATGGCTGGAAGAAGAAAAGGAAGTTTTGGCTTCACAAACCTGAAGTCAAATGAGGAAATAAGATGATTGAGGTTTTTCTGATCACAGTTCTGAAAAGCAGATAAACAGAAGCATCACAAGACAAAGCATACAAAACTGGAACGGCAGCAGATTTCAACATGCACTTATGACAGTCTCATCCACTATTCTTACCAGGACCAGCTGTGCTCAGATAGCTAGCAGTATTACATGTACTACTGAGGTCATTCAGAAAGCTGCATATTATTGGCAAGATTAGCAAGGACTGTGAAGTACAGAATAATATTTTAAGATAGAAAAGAAATTTAACCATATACAAGAAAGTCTTTGCCACAGTTTAGACCCAAGGTGGTCAAAATCGGCATATATGTGAAGTTAAGGGTTCTCCTTTAATTTGTTGATGTATTTACTTTAGGAAGAACAATCTAAGCCAAGATTAAAGAAATAACACAATCATGTTATCTGACTTTTGCTCCTCACAATGCTATGTAGAACTGGTACAGTGCAAGCCATTCCTCTAGTAACACTTGCTAATTGAGAGCTGGATACCAGAGCTGCTGCTGCTATTATTCCACTCCTCTTAAATTGCTTTGTCAGACTTCCGTCACTTGAGACAAGTTCCATTATAGCAGACATTAGGTGCATTTAGGTATTTGCCAGATAATAGAGTAAGGTTCTTAGGCATTGGTCTGTACAGATTAGTCTAATCTGTTGCTGTTGGAGACCTTGTTTCCAGCAGAAAGGTAAACAATAGTTTCAAATTACTTGCACTAAAGTTAAGCTACAGGTACTCCATGACTTGAGGTGAAAAGAAAGCCAAAAGAGAACTCTCGCATTTCCAATATTGTCTTCAGCTCAGCTCAGGTCTGCATCTGAATCGAACTTCTTCTTTCTCTAGAACTATTTCTAATAGATTTGGTGCCATTTAAAATGCTCTATCCAAAAATGATTAAGAGAAATAGAAGTTCAGTTAGTAATATTAAATGCTAATGTTACTTCCTGAATTCGAAGCACAAATAGTTAACATTTCAATATTAAGTAAAAGTTTCTTATTTCCACACTGAAATTGGTTTTCAAGAAGAAAAATCAAGCAATTTGAGATTTCTGGGCTTCTATGAAAAGGAAGGCAATAAGCCCATAGAGTTGTATTTTGTTTGTTTTTAATGACATAATGGGTATGATTTACCTGGTAAAATCCTAAGCTAACTGCACTTTGAAATACCTTACAAACATTCAAAACTACATTAAATCATCCATTACTAAAACTGAAAAATAGAATAGATTTCTAAGGAAGATCTTAAGCTAAAGGAAGAGGAGAGCACATGTTAGGAAGGGGTGTAGCGATCAAGAATGGTCTGAAAGCAGTTAAGATAGGTCTTCAAAAGTTTTAACACCAACCTGGAGCACTAACCTAACTGCATTTGGACAACTAGAAAGTAGAACTTACACAGTTTTTTCCATGTTTCCCTCACTGCCTTTTGTTTGTTTGTTATTACATTTAACCTATACTGACAGTAGCATTCTTCCTTCATGTCCTTGTGAGTGATTCTAATAGAAACCAAATGCCAGGGCCTGCATCAGCCTGGTAACTGAGCCTGAAGACTTGGGCTTCAGTTCTTCCCTCCAGTGAATATCGGAGTACTTCATACAAAACAACTGTTTCCTCAAGAAATCTGGAAACCAACACCAGAATATGTAACAGCTCAGTAGCTAGACATTACTTCAAGAAGAAATTGCTAGTTTAAGACTTACAAATTTTTAAAGCTTTGTCCTATAGTACTTTCTTGCTTTTCCATCTTGTATATTAAAACCATTTTCTTTGCACCAGATGAAACAATTCAGTTCAGTTCTTTGATTATTACAGATATAGTTTTGCTTCAGAATAAAACCTATTATTCATGTCAGCCATGTATCAAAACTCAGAATAGCCTTACGCCTGGTTCACACTGAGAAGAGAGGAGATATCTGAATTGAAGCACTAAGTAGACAAATAATATTCTAAACAGAAATTAATTAAAATATATTAAAAAGATTACAGTTTTAAGCTTCTTTTAATGAAACAATTGTTCAAATTGAAACCAGTTTAATACCAGTCCATTTATTTTCATGGAGAGCAACGTTTTAGAAAATGAGGTCATACTCTTCTTAAAATCTGTTCATTAGAATGTAAATAGCTAATCTGTTTCATGTATCAAAAACTATTTTGCATGTTAAGAATTATAGACTTTAAAAGTAGGGATCTTAGTTGCCTTCAGTGAAGCCTGAAGTACTTCATAGTAGCTGAAAATCTTACACAACTCAGAACTTACAGTTTATTTTTTAACTGCAAAAAATATCTAAACTTTTCTGAACATATTTATTAAAATATATAGGAAAAGTTCACTTTCTCCACAAAAATTAGTTTATAATACTTCACATATTTACAGTTTGAGTGAAAAATCATAATCCTTCAAATCTAGGGATAAAATCATAATTGATATATGATCATTGTTTAATACAAATAATGACAACGCCAGTAATTCTTCAAGTCCTGTTACAGTAAAATAAAGGCAAACCATCCTTCTCCTACTCTAGCAGGCTGGAGGTGAAGTTACTTTTCACCATTAGAAACTGGGATTCTCGGTGTGATCTCTTCAGTTTTGCACGACGGTTCTGGAACCAGATCTAAAATGGAAATAAAAGGCATCTTTTTCAGAAACACAGCGCTGTAAACAGAGCGGGCTTTGAAGTGCAAAAGTATTCACACAACCTCACAGTATTTTGTCAGTAATTTGGAAGTTTAATAGAAGGTCAGAATTTTCAGTTGATGACCGGCACAAATTAAGACTAAGAAAATAATGCCTTCAGCTTCACTGGAGAATGAGGATCAGCTTCAGCCACGAAAACACAAATATCAACTTTGGTGACACTCAGACCCTGTTCAGAATTCCTGAACATCTGGAACTCACACACGTCTTCAGGTGTTACTTCAACTGCTTGATGAACTAAAACATCAAGCTTCCCATTAAGCCAAACATGAATGGCATCAAAAGCATAATAAATACCAATAAATATCAAATTTGAATTCTTATTGTATGCTTATCACATATGAGTTGTTAGAAATCAGTAATTAAGGCCCTGAGATGATTTTGC